AACTTAAGACCCAGAGGGGGAAAGGACTTCTCTAGGGTCACAAGGCAAATTCATGTCAGAGCTGGAATTAGAACCCAGGTCCCCTGCATCCCAATCCAAAGTTCTTTCCAACACACTGAGCAGTGTGATATATTGTAAAGGAGGTTATACAATGAGAAGACCTGGGATCCAATTCTAGGTCTGACACTAATGAGCTATATAACCTTAGGTCCCTTGACTTCCCTAAGCGCCAGTTACTTTCTCTACAAAATGGTGACACTATTTGCCTACCTCACAAGATGCCGTTCTGATGAAAATGCACTATAAATCCCCTAGCCCTATATAAAAATGAATTGATATTAAGTAATAGTGCTATTATTCAGAAAGCTATTTAAAAATCTACCTAAGACAGCAATCATATGGGTGAGGTAGGTACTATATTAAATCTACTTTGCAGAGAGTAGAAATAGTTAATAATAGTTAATTGACTCTTCCAACATCACTGTGATTGTGCCAGCCACAGAGTTGAGGCTGGGAACCCAATGTCCTGTCTCCAAGTTCCCATTCTGGATCCTACCTATTAGACTATTCTATTTCCCACAGAAATGAATGGCTTCTGGGGACATCTACGGGCTACTGCCTGGGAAGATGGTCACAATTTAGAAAGGCTGGGTCCACATTATATTACTAATACCATCAGAGGCAGCAGGCTTCGAAGTTCACTTTTCTCACCTCTCCTAGCTGAAAGGCTGGTTCCCTAGCCCATGATTTAAGAACATCTTGACTGTTTTGTTCCTGTTTCGCTCCTGTTTAGACTATCAGTAATAATGTTAGCACTGGGCTTCCTTCTTCTAGGTTGTTTAGTCACCTCTTCTGCCTGGTGAAGGCACATGGCAGAGCTAGAAGGGGCTACTGCACCCAACCAAGGATACTTGGGGCAGGGGTGAAAACGAGAGGAGGGGAAGATGGGGGATGGGAAAGAAGAAGAGTGGTGGAGAGAGGAAAGGCTCCCAAAGGTGTGACAGCAGCCCAAAGCTACATTGTAAGAAGCCTTCCCCATAAAAAAAGTCAGCGTGATATAAAGAGCTCTAGATTTGGACTCCAATAACAGCAGCCTACCTTCTAGCTATGTGACTATGGACAAGTCACATCTCTTAGCCAGTTTCCTTCTCTGTAAAATGGGAATGATACTGATACCACCTACTGCATAGGGTTATGGTGAAGACAGCACTTGGCTGAAATTGTAAACCACCATAGAAAGGTGAGCTCTTATTCCAGCTATGGATCTAGAAAGAGTATGCAGGTATCCCCATTTTTAGGTTGAAGGGCCCTCTTCAATTAATTATAAGCTATGGATTCTGACTTCTCTTAGGAAAATAACCATTTGCTACAATCCAAGGCCCCTCTGGGGCAGCTAGGTGGCATAGATCCCCTAGCCTGGAGTCATGAAACCTGAATTCAAATCCTGTCTCAGACACTTACTAGTTCTGTGACCCTGGAAAACTCACTTAACCCTGTTTGCCTCAGTTTCCTCATCTCTAAAATAAGCTGGAGAAAGAAATGGCAAACCACTCCACTATCTTTGCCAAGAAACTGCAAATGGGATTACAGACAATCAGATACAACTGAACAAAAAATAGGGAGGCACTGGAATCTTTTGAGCAGGAGAGTGACATAGGCAGACCTATGCATCAGGAATATCACTTTGGCAGCCATACATATGGATCAGAGAGCAGGGAGATCAATTAAGAAGCCATGAAAATAGCACAGTGGATAGAGCACCGGCCTTGGAGTCAGGACAACATGAGCTCAAATCCAGCCTCAGACACATAATACTTACTAGCTATGTGACCCTGGGCAAGTCACTTAACCCCATTGCCTAGCAAAAAACAAAAAAACAAAAAAAAAGAAGCCATGAAAATAGTCCAGGTGACCATGAGGGAATCTATGATCCTGAACTAGGATGATGGTCACATGAGGGGAGAGGATGGGAAGGATTTCTATTCAGGTTTGGCTTTGATGAGGTGACCTCAGAGGTCCCTTCCAACTCTGCAATTCTGTACCATTGTTTTTCCTTTCAGTGAGCCCCTCTATGACTTCTATGCACCAAGGGAAGTAGGGTGGTGGAGTCGGAAGAATAGTAGGATGAGTCAGAAGGCCTAAGTTCAGGTCTCACCTATGCCACTCACTAACTTACTATATGACATTGGCCAAATCTCTTCAATCAAGTCAATAAGTATTTATTAAGCACCTATTGTGTGCCAGGCACACCTCTCCAGACTTCAATTTCACAGAATTAAAAACTGGGACTCCTTCATCTTACAAGGGAAGAAACTAAAGGCCAGAGAGATTTTTACTTGCCACCAGTCACACAGGAAGTAAGTAGCAGAGTACAGATTCAGATTTGGTCCCTTAAATCCAAATCCAGCATTCTTTCAACTACACCATACTCTTCCCCCATCGGCTTCTTCCTGGGGTTTTCCTCAGTGGATCAACTCTGGGGTGAGGTTAGTCAACCGTGCCACTCACTTGCTTATAAGGAGGCTGGTCCAACTGACTACCAGAAGAGTCAGCAGGAACACTACATGTCGGGACAGAAAATCCATCACTTTCTTTGTGCCTAGACAGATTTTCTATAGGAGCAAAGTCAGGATGAAGGGTTTTGCTCATCTTTATCCAATGCCATGCTGAGGAAGAAGGGCTTATTAAGAACTACAATTATCCCTTGTGTTTGTTTATGAAGTGTTTTCATATCCATCATGTAATCTTATTCTCACAATCCTGGGAGGTAGGAAAGCTTACCACTATTTAACAAATAAGGTCAACCAAGGCCCTGAAAGGTAAAGTGGCAGAGTTGGGGCTAGAACAGAGTTCTCTCCCATTCCTCTGACAGACACACCCCAGAGAAGAGATAAGGGGTAAAGAGCTATTAAAGATGAAGCTGATCTGACTTTGAGACATTCCATAAGGTCAAATCCTTTCGCTGTTCTCTATACCTCAGAAGGCTCAGCAGCAATGCCCAAGCATGTCAACGGACACACATCCAAAGATGCCCGGGGATAGGTATTCCAGAAGGTGGTCTGCTTTGCTGCCATAAGGGCTCACCTATTTCCTTCTTCCCCTTTTCAACATGTTAAGATTCTGTACAAGCATTATGGGAAAGTTTAGGTTTTATGTGCCAGCAGGTATGGAAGAGAAGATCATCCCTCCTTGGAACTGTGGACTACAGCAAATACCTTGTGGTTCCCAAAGGGAAACTATCTTGTTCAGGCTTCCTGGTTGGATTAACAAGTTTCCTGACTCACGGTTCTGGGGCTCTTTCCATTGAGCCCCACTGTCTGCTTCTCCAGTTCAGAGGAGGGGGAAGGATATTAGCCAGGCTTTCTGCTCCTTCAGCACTCAATTGGTGTCTGGTTATCTAAGGTCTCAGCCCCATCAGTGGGGTGCCCAACCTGAACCAATCCCTGTGCCCATCAATTCCAGATTCCAGGGAAGGGCACTAGAAATTCATTTCCAAGCTGCAGTTTGGCAAGGGAGGTATGGGGATAAGTTGAAGACTGAGGCACCTAGGAGAGACTAGAGAGTTCTGGTCTCCGGAATCCAGTTAGTCTGAAGTGAGAATCAGGAGGGCCATGGGCCAAAGAAGGAGGAGTAGCTGTCACCAGCAGTACTAGGCAGCCCAAGTTCTGGGAAACGTAGCTTGGGAGCAGATTTGCAAGCATTTGGGACCACAAATGCCTAGCTCTCTTTCATAAAACAGGCAGGGAAGGGGACATCTATGGTAACCTCTGACACTGACTCTGGGCACAAAAGGGGCGTGTAGGAGCACGCAGCTGTGGGACTAGCCAGTACTCCTCCCCTAAAACGGAGGCTTGTCATGGAACTAATCTCATAGTTAAACCAGAGTTCTTCCAAGCACAGATGCTGAAGACAAGAGTTCACAGCTGGTCAACGAGAAAGTTAAAATCACTGTGTTCCTCATGTACAGTCCCAGACTGACTAGCTAACACGGAGACAGGGAGAGAGGGGGAGGGGGAGAGGGAGAGGGAGGGAGGTGGGGGAGGGAGAGAGACAGAGAGAGACAGAGGGAGACAGAGAGAGACAGAGAGAGAGAAAGAAACACAATGATTTGCATATTTGCACACTAAGGCATATGCACAGCATTCAGACACACCCCCAACCAGCCCAGCCCAGCCCAGCCCAGCCCAGCCCAGCCTGAAAGGTTTCCACTAGGCTAGGGCACTACGGCTCCAAGCTGTTCCCTCCACCCAGGGTTTTCAGAAAGAAGGGGCCCGCGCCAGCACAGCAAAAGATCTCTAGCTTCCCTCCCTGCTTGGCTTCCGGAGCCCCCAGTACCCCCAGGCTGGGAAGAGAAAAGAAAATTGAGCTCAGGACTTGCAAACCGCCTGAAGAAGTCCAGCCTTGGAAGGGAGCGTCTGTAAATCATTGGGCCCGGGACGAACGCAGTATTCGTTAACCCTTAACTGCCTGCTTCTTCTCCAACCCCTTTGGGCCAGTGGGATAGGCGGGGGTGGGAGAGTGGGAAGGGGGACAGGAAACAGACTTTTCAGTGGAAGGCTGAGAAGTCCAGAACTAGGCACAATAGGGGGTGGAAGGGATGTTCTTTCCTTCTTCCCTCCTCCTCCCGGATGTCTCTTCCCTCTTTCGCCGGGAGGCTGGGGCAGAGCAGAGACCCCTCAGCACCCAGCTTTGCTGGCTTTGCAGGGAAACCCTACAGGCTATCTACCGGAGCTTCGGCCCTCCCCTTCCCTCTCCCGAGGCGGGACCCGACACCAGGGCAGGAAGCCGCCCCAGGGCATCCCCCAATGCAAAAAAGGACCCCGGAATGTCCCGCCACTGGGGCTTTTGAGCTCATGTAGCCAAAGATAGGAGAAGGGAATTCCTACTAAGCCCGGCTCTCGCAGAGACCAGGGTCGAAGGGAGTGGGAGGCTCTCCACTTCTCCCTCGCCCCTTCCTCCTCTTCTTCCTCCACTGGTCAGAGTTGGGAGTTTTTACTCACCCCCTAGACGCAGCTGCTCTGACTCTGGAGACCGGGGTTGATTCCGGCTCCATCGCGGGTTCCTACTTCATTCTCTCTTTCCCGGGGGGCAAAGAAGTCTCAGCGCGATCCATGGGGAGCTGCGCGCCCTGCGCCCCGACGGCGCGCGCCCCGACGACGGCGCCGACCGCGGCCGCCCAGAACTCTGCGCGGCACCTCCCCCAGCCCGGACTCCTGGGGTTCCCTTCGTCCTCTTCGCGGCTGCTACCTCAGTCCCACCATGGAACTCTCTCACAGCGGATCTCCGCTCCCTCTGGGGCAAAGGGCAGAAAGCCCTGCAATGCACCAGCGGGCAAGAGAGCCAGGAACATGGTTGCAGGAACTCCGGGGGCTCCTCTTCCCCCCCGCACCCCGAAAAAAACTTTCCTACGGGAACTTGGTGTCTCTGCTTTTTAGTGCCAGTCCCTGATGGCAGGGAAGGCCAAGCTGGAGACAGGATATTTTACTTAGGAGGGTGATTGGATCTTGCCTATCGTGCCAAATGTTCCCTCCAGAAACTCTCCTCTGGACGTGGGGAGGAGAGGAAAAGGAAGGATTTGGGGAAATTGAAAATGATTTAAAGGCGCTCTCCTTCCCCCCGCCACCTCCTCTCTCCGAATCCCTCTCTTTGCTGCCCCCCTCTGACTAGAGAGAGGTGAGACACTCTCAGCCCTAGCCCCAGGAACCCCGGGACCCCTTCCTTCCTTCCTTCCTCCCAGTGCCTCCCCCCAGGGAGGGGATAGGAGCCAGCCTCCTTGAGAGAGCGAAGGGGTGTTCTCAGCCGGAGAGTTGTTGCTGAGGTTCCGCGCTCTAGCTTCACACCCTTATTAATCCAATCCTAAAGGAGGTTCCCTGCCGGTCCCCGTTTTCTCTCCTCCCCCGCCCCCAGCCACATATACACACCCCTTGCCCAAAGCTTCCAAGAGAATATGAGACCTAGGAGTTCAAAACTCCTTTTCCCAACGCGCACAGAGAGAGAGAAAAAAAAAATCGAGACCAGAATCTGTCAGAAACTTGTGTGACCTTAGGTATGTCACTTGGCCTTTCAGGGTCTCATTTTCCCCAAATATGAAAACGTGGGTTCTCTAAGGTCCCTTTCAGTGTTAACATTTTACGATTCTATTTTGCGTGTTTCCTCTATTTGTCCCCAAGAGTCTGGTAGACAGACTGCGGGACCGGGGTGGGGGGTGGGGGTAGGAGGAGTACTATGTTTCTGCCCCCATCCTTCTCTCATAAAGAGGTACCTGAGTCCGGTCCTCCCCGAGGGTCTCATCTTTGTCTCTGCACACAATCCCCTGCCTTCCCTGAGTGCTTCATAGAATCAGACCAAAGAGGGGCCACGAACTGGCTTTCCGAGGGGCCCTAACTTCTCTCTGCGCCACCCCCCTTCTCCGCTACCGCCACCCTGGTTACCCATCCCGCCTTCCAGCCTTGTAGTCTCTGGCCCTCTGATCCCAATCACTTGTCTGCCCCGTGCAAGGTCAGCCAGCCCTCACTGAAGACAAGACGTGGTTCAAACTAGACAAAGGAACGCTCGAGGTTTAGGACCGAAAGCACTTACACACGCGCACACCCCCAAACTCCTACACGTGCCCGGAGCTGAGAGAGTCGGCCACTTCCACACCCGGGCTCCCTCGGTTATCCCACAACCTCCCCGCCTCCCCGCCCGGCAAATCTCATCTTCACCGGGCCCCCTAATCCATTCACTTGCTACTTACTTCTTGCGAAGGCGAGAGGTTGAGGAGTCTCTCCTTCCGGCCCCTAAATTCATTTGTATTCATTGGTCCTCGCAGCTAAGGGAAAATCGGCTTGGGTTTGTTTGATGGGGAGGGGATGGGGGCGTAAAATTTCTTTTTTGAGAGGGGTTGAGTAATAATCACAACGTAATTCGGCGACCGGAGAGCTGGACAGTCGGGGGGACCTCCTGGGTCATTGGCCTAGACGGTTTTTCCAGTCGCCTAGAGAGGGAGAGACAAGGAGACCCCAAGTTCACAGGCTAATCCTTCCCTGGGATCCTGGCCCGCCGCTCTCGCTCCCGGTTGGCGGCTCATAGGTGCTGTGGGAGCCGGGAGGGGGCTTGGAGCGGGACCTGAGCCTTTTGAAGTCTCCGCTAGAGGGGGGGGTCAGGGGGGCTGGCGTGGCGAGGTGGGGGGATTGTAAAAGCTGCCCTTGTCCTTTTAAATAGCTGCTGCATGGGGACTCCACTAGACTCCACCGAGCCAGGTGTCTGGTTTCAGCAAACAGGCGAGAAAAGTCCCTAGCAAAAAAAAAAAAAAAAAAAAATCCTTCCTGCAGGGGGCAGGGTAGCCACGGCTGGGGAAAGTGCGAAGGACAAACAGACCAGGGGCTGAGAAAGATGCTTACAGGTCCTCTCGGCCTCCCTCCGCCTGGAATGAGGCCCGCCCTCGAGTTGCCAAGGCGACCTCCTGGTGTCTTCCTCTGATACCCTCCCTCCTCCGTTTTCCAGCTTGGGGGTGATTTGGTCTACTTCTCAATTTTCCTGCCTGTGTCACCCGAGAAGTCATAGTTGCCGTAAGAACGCCTACTTTTAAAAATCCTAACTTGCCTGAGATGGAAAATGCCACCTTCACAGGAAAAAAACAAAACTCCAGCTCCCTCTCCTCCAAGGACCCAGCCCCAAGGAAGAAATGCTTGGAGAAGGATGGAGTTCAGTGGGAATGAGCAAGATTGACAGAATCCCTTAAATGTCAAGCTGATGAAAGGGATAAGCGCCCAAGTCACATCAGACCCCTTAGTTTCTGATCAGGTTTGGACCAGGGGAGGGTCACATATCTTCTTCAACAACACTCACTATCTTTGCAGCTCATTTGGCATAGCAATTCAATAAACATTTATTAAATGTGTACCTAGCACTATGCTAAGCATTGGGGCAGCTTGGACAAGTCCCAGTCTCTGCGCTGATGGAACTTAAAGGCTAGTTGGGGTGGGGGTGGAGATGTAATGAAAAATCCATGGTAACTCATACAAAACGACACAACATAGATAGAGTGGGAATTTCACCTCAAGAAGACCTGAGTTTGAATACTGCCTCAGATGCATTAACTGTGTGACCCTGAAACTAGTCACAATGCAGGCGCTTTTCCTCAACCTTTCTAACGACCTTATAATAATATTTCTATAGCTTTAGGGTTTATAAATCCACTGTTCATGCTACCTTGTTTGATCCTCACAACATGCCTGTGATTCCTCAGTTTCCTCATCTATAAAATATAGATAATAATAACACTTGCTTCACAAATATATGAATGCTACCTATTATTGTTATAAGGTTGGGGAAATCTTCACCAACTTAGGGGGAACCAAAGAATTCCTATTAAAACAAAACAGAAAGGCTCTCCACAGGCAGTCAGGAGACCTGGGTTCTAATCTTGGCTCTCTCATTAACTTATTATGTGTTACTTTAGGCAAGGCTTGTTTTGTTTTGTTTTGTTTTTCATATCTCTGGACCTTGGTTTCTTCATCTATGAAATAATGAGTGTAGAGCACGGTTTAGAGTTGGTCACTCCCATGTGTAGCCTAGGTGATCACCCCAAACTCTATACCTGCTACAGAGGTATATATAAATATATTTATATTTATTTTATTTATATTTATATATATTTATTTTTATATATTTTATATTTTATTTATATTTATTTATATATTATTTATATATTTTCATTCATGTTTATATAACAAAGTAGCCACTGAGAACCAAAACTATCTTCTTCTCTAGTCAATTTCCACTCAGCTCAGGTGACTCTGAGGTACCTCACAGTGGCCTCAGGTACCCCATGTCCCCGGAAATGTTTCTATAACTTACTCTGTACCATAATTTCAGTGCTTCTTTGGAGCTATTTGTCTTTTTCATTAAAATATGTCCCACTTTCTCCATGTTTTCCATTTCCTATATACCCTGCTCCCTCATCCTGATGGTGGGCTTCCTGCATAAATTTTGAATTTAGCTCATGCTTTGAGGAATCAAATAGATGTGGAATCAGCCATCCCAGATTCCAATGCAGGCTCTTCCACTTTACCCCATGAGACCTGGGACAAGTCACCTACCCCTTCTCATCTGTAAAATGAGAAGGTTGGATTCAATGACCTTTAAGGTCCTTACCAGCTTTAAAGCTATGACTGGCTAAAGTGATTTCTCATTCCTCCAGAATGAGGGCCCTTGATGACTTGGCCATGTGTTTCTCACTTAACACAAGCTGCCTTTGCACCATGTCTTAGCTCCCCAGATAAAGAGTGAGCAGGGACCATGAGTTAAACATTTTTGGATGGCCCACAGCCTAGCAAAATATTTCACACACAGTAGATGCTTGATAAATATTTGTTACATAAATGAAAATTGGTCTGATAGTCCCACTTCTTAATCTACATGTCCTTTTGAAGTGGAGATTGACCAGCTTGGTCATGGCCAAAGAGAACCACATCATAATATCTAGATCCCATTCTTTCTGGGATATGCTGGACATAAATTTTCATGGGTCAGCTAGAAAATGACTCAGCAAAGACTATGCCAACTTGTGAAAGCCAGGTAAGTACAATTTTTCAGTAACCAAACACTGCCTTCTGGGCCTGAAGGGGAGCTTGAGAAGTTAGCTAGTTTCATAGCCCAGATCTGTCTCTTCAGTTCCAAACAGTGATAGTGGTTAAAACAATTCACATTTAACAACTTCCATTTATGCAGTCCTTTTAAGATGTACTAAGTCCTTTCCTCGCGGTGATTCAGTGAGGCAAGACACAAAAACACAGGCTATCTCCATTTTACCAGTGGGAAAATTCTAACCCCTAGAGATTAGGTGATTTATCTATGATATCATACACAGAAAATGCTGGAGCTGGGAATACAACCAGGATCGCCTGCCTCCAAGCATGGCAATCTTTCAATTGCAAGTTACTAGCTCCCCTCTGTTTGTAGAGAGATCCCACAAACTCCCTCTGTGGCAGCAGAGACTGAGGTTGGTGGTTTATCCGTAGACTCAAGAACTCAGTCAATCTCTCTCTATATATATCATCAAGAGAAAGAAGGAGGGTTCTCTGCCTTCAGGGAGCCTACAC